CCCATCTTCCCTCCAGTTCTTGGAGCCCCCCCAGCAATTTGAAAATCCCTGGTCCACTCTCCTTTCATTATAGAACTCCTACAAAATGCCACAGTGGTATAAAGACAGTCCAGTCAGACTATCTCACAAATACTGGAATGAAAATGTGCTGAAAACACGCAGCATTGCTAAAGATGAAAACACACCAGAGTGCGAGTTGCTCCACGGGGGCAGGTGTGGCTGTGCCGTGTGCGAGTAGAAGACGTTGACGTCTTGGTGGAAGAGCAGCTCAACAAACTTCGCAGACTCCAGGTACTTCCTCTTGCAGCACAGTAAGCTGGGAGCCTGCTCCGACGCGTACAGCACCCGGCCGCTCGACAGGGAGAAAACCATGACGAACGAATCCTACACACAGGTACACAGAGACGTATGTGCGCATATGCAGAAAAACGGCGCACACGGGCCAAAAGCAAGTAACACAAACACACAGGAGTTAATATTTGCACAGTCGAAGCATGATTGAGAAACAAATGTACACGTGTGCCAGAGGAACACTGTCAATCCGASCATCAGAGCACTGAACATATTTTAAGCACAACAAATGTGCTTTTTAAACAAGGTGCAAGAAAAAAAAAGGCAGGAAAGTTAAAACTTTCCAGTTCCGATGAACCATGCATCTATATGAAAGAATACATTTGTGTGTTTGCATACCGTGTTTTTAAGATTGTGCTCAGAGGTGACCCTCTCCAGCTCTTCCAGAGTGCAGACAGTGGCATCTTTCCTCGGATCCTGCCCATTTCGCATGAGCAGTTTGTAGTAGTCACTGTTGGCTACAGGTGAGAAAACATAAATGCGGTTCAGAAAATAACAGAATTTCACATGGGTTTGGAGAAAGAGGTAAAATCTTTAACATTTTTCTGGTTACTCAGGTTACCTTGAACTTGCTTGACACAGTTGAGAGCGTAGTTTAAGGCCTCCACAGTGCTGGCTTTGCTGCGGCTCCGTTTGTCTGACGGAAGCCTCTTCTTCATCTCAGCCACTGTGTTCATCATGTCTCTGTGGTCCTGCCCTCTGCCACTACCCTCATGYTCGCTGACGAACACGGACATCATAATAATGAAGATATTTAGATCAGATGTCATAGATTTGGTGCAAAGTTTTTAAGGCGCTGTAGTTTATAGACCTAAAATTCACAGATGGGATTTGATTTGAAAGAATGTAAGTTGAGTACATTTTAGCAGGGGGTTAAGTTTAATTCAGTTTTAAAGACAAATATTTCACCATTTAATTGTTAAAGTTCTCAAACTTTGGTCACATTTACCTTTTAGAGAACGATGAGGTGGATCCCGTGGCACTCTCAGGGCTTTGATTGGCTGAGGATGAAAGATCATTTGAACTGTTAGTCATCTCCTCATCCTCCTGTCCCACTTCTTCTCTCAAAGCTCCTCTCTCCCCTCCCCCAAGGCGGTTGGTCTGTGCCAGCCGACCCCGATGCCCTGGAGGCATCCTCTCTTCCTCTTCAGCCGCTGCTGAGGAAGATGGCAAAGCAGGCTCCTCCTCATCTGGACCGCCGTCATCTCTTGACATCACAGCACCCGGGTCACACATTAATAGCATTTTGTCCAGACAAACTTGCAAGTAAGAGTTTTCACATGTTCAAAAGRTGGAACAGGCTCCATGTGAGTAAGATAAGTTTTCAAGCAGTTGGTGTTGAATCCTGGAGGTAACAATCAGTTTTTAGATCTGCATGACAGAAGAACATGAAAGAAAATTTAAACATTGTTTATTAACTTTACATCATGAAGAATTAGTAGCAGTTAATATCAATGTTTTTTAGGACTTCTGAAAGCTATGAAGCACTACCAAGTTATGTCACATGATTTACCAAGAGCACAATCAATGTTTACATTTTCACAAAAGTGAACTAAAACAATTTATCCTCTTGTCTAACACTAATGGTCAGTCTGATTATCAAAGTGACTCACTGCTGTCTGACTCACTCAAGTCACCCATGTTATAT